CGGCTCCCTCGCTCCCTCGCTCCCTCGCTCCCTCGCTCCCTCGCTCCCTCGCTCCCTCGCTCCCTCGCTCCCTCGCTCCCTCGCTCCCTCGCTCCCTCGCTCCCTCGCTCTCCCTCCCTCGCTCCGTCACATCCTCTGCATGTCGCAGGGCTTATCAGCACGTTTCTTCAGGTTTGTTGCCTCCCTGAATCCCGGGGCCCGGCCCGGCCCGGACGGCCCCGGCCCGGCCCGGACGGCCCCGGCCCGGCGCCGGGTCCACCCCGTGACCGGTTCAACGGTTAACTTAGTAGTCCGACGGTCACTATTGGACTCCAGGGCGGGGCCGAGACCGTGTCTTGTACAGTACCGTACGTCCTCGTTCTGATCAGTTTTCGGGCACGCCGCCTGGCGTCGTCAGTGACTCAGGTGAGGGCCGGGCACTGAAGTGACTGGCCGAGCCTCTGAGCCTGACGGTCCGCCGACTCCGGCGAATCCGGGCGCGACCGTGCCGGTCCTATCGGTACGCCGGCACGGTCCGGGCCCCGGCCTGATCCGGCGCCGCGCCGCCCGGCCCGGCTCCGGCCCGACTCGGCCGCCCACGGCGGCCACGACTCGAATTAACCACTAAGTTATAATTTTAGGTCACTTTGTAGTTATTCAATATGGATTTCGCTTATCCTTGTATGTTCCCCGGCGCAATTTAACAGAAATGACACTTATTTAGAACAGATTTAATTCATTTAGGTAGAATGCAGTAAAATTAAAAGGGTTCTGTCCTAAAAAAGTAAGGCAAATAAGGCATAAGCAGCGGCCATGCAGGTGGTAGCCGTCGCCATGCTGCTGCTGGGAGGCGTCGAGGCGTTCCAGCATGCTCCTCCTCTGGCGCGTTCAAGAGCTTTAGCATCCTCCTCGCTCACCCCTTCCCTTGCTTCTCGCTCTTTCTCGATCCCTGGGCTGCGCCAGAGGCAGGGGAGCGTAGGGTTGAGGATGGGGTTGTTTGATACGGTAGCGAAGAGCTTTGGAATGGGCAAAGAGGAGGCAACGAGTGAGGGAGGAGTAGTGTTCGGAGTCGGATCCCCGGAGAACCAGAAGTTTGTGAAGGAGCTTCTCGTGCGAGTTGAGAGCAAGATCAACGTGCTCGAGGAGCAGATTGAAAAGCTGACGGACGAGCAGCTGCGAGCCAAGACCCAGGAGTTCCAGCAGAGGCTGCGAAAAGGAGAGACTGAGGAAGACATTCTCGACGAAGCCTTTGCGGTTGTGCGCGAAGCTGCATGGCGTGTCCTCAAGCTCCGCCACTATGACGTGCAGATGGTGGGCGGCATGGTGCTGCACCAAAGGAAGTTGGCGGAGATGGCGACAGGAGAAGGCAAGACGCTCGTAGCGACTCTGCCCAGCTACCTGAACGCGCTCTCTGGCAAGGGAGTCCATGTGGTTACTGTGAACGACTACCTGGCAAGGAGAGATGCTGAGAACATGGGACAGATCCATCGCTTCCTTGGCCTGACTGTCGGACTGATCCAGGCAGAGATGAAGCCTGAGGAGCGCAGGGCCAACTACGGCTGCGACATCACCTACGTCACCAACTCAGAGCTCGGCTTCGACTACCTCCGCGACAACCTCGCGATCAAGCCCGAAGATATCGTTCTTACCCGCCCGTTCAACTTCTGCATTGTAGACGAGGCAGACAGCATCATGATTGACGAGGCACGAACTCCCTTGATCATCTCAGAGAAGACTGCTGCTCCAGCTGCCAAGTACGCGAACTCTGCCAAGATCGCGACTGTGCTGGAGGAGAAGGTTCACTACACGGTTGACGAGAAGTCGCAAAGTGTCACGTTGACTGAGCGAGGGTTCTCGGATGTGGAGAAGATCTTGAATGTGAAGGACCTGTTCAACCCCAAGGATCCCTGGTCTCCCTACATCATCAACGCCCTCAAGGCCAAGTCTCTCTTCAAGAAGGACGTCCAGTACGTCGTGCGCGCCAACGAGGTCATGATCGTCGATGAGTTCACTGGCCGTGTACTCGAGGGCCGGCGGTGGAGCAACGGGCTGCATCAGTCGGTGGAGGCCAAGGAAGGGCTGAAGCCCTCGTCCGAAACCCAGACTGTCGCCTCCATCACCTACCAGTCCTTCTTCCGCCTCTTCCCCAAGCTCTCTGGCATGACAGGAACAGCGAGGACGGAGGCCAAGGAGTTCGGCGATATTTACGGGCTCGAAGTTCTCTCGATCCCCACGGCTCTCCCGGTCGCTCGACGAGACAACCCTGACGCCACGTTCCGCACACAGGCAGGCAAGTGGAAGGCCGTCATGGGCGACATCGCGCGCAGACACACCAAGGGACAGCCGATCCTCATCGGAACGACCTCGATCGCAGCGTCTGAGCAGCTCTCGAAGCTCATGACGGAGCTCGAAGTGCCGCACGAGGTTCTGAACGCCAAGCCTGAGGTCGTGACCCGTGAAAACGAGATCGTCGCCCAGGCTGGACGCGCCTTCGCCATCACCATCGCGACCAACATGGCCGGAAGAGGAACTGACATTCTCTTGGGAGGCAACAGCGGTTTCTTCGCCAAGAAGCGCATCATGCAGAAGTTGGCTCCTGCGCTTGTGGACAAGAAGAACGGCTTGCCGTCCAAGGAGGCCATGGAGATCAAGCAGAACCCAGCCTGCATCCCCCTGCCTGAGCTCTCCGAGCAGGCCGTCAACAAGATCGACGAGGCTGTGCAGGCGGCGGCGTCGGCGCTTGGGTCGCTCCCAAGCATGCTGGATGTAGAGTCTCTCCTTGCTGTGGCGGCTGAGACGGGGCCAGTGGAGGCGGGAAGCCATCTGGAGAAGCTGCGGGAGGCTTACAGGGTGGTGAAGGAGGAGTACGACGTGCGATGCAAGAAGGAGAAGGAGGAGGTAGAAGACCTTGGAGGTCTGCACGTCATCGGCACGGAGAGGCATGAGAGCAGGAGGATCGACCAGCAGCTTCGAGGACGCGCTGGACGTCAGGGGGACCCCGGCAGCTCGCGCTTCTTCCTCGCGCTCGACGACCGTCTGTTCCAGGTGTTCGGAGGGACGTCCATCGACGGGCTGCTCGATAAGCTCAAGGTGGAGGAGGACATGCCGCTGGAGGCCAAGTCAGTGAGCGACGCGCTTGACGGGGTGCAGAGGAGAGTGGAGGAATACTTCTACGGGATCCGCAAGGAGATGTTCAAGTACGACGAGATCCTCTCATCGCAGAGAGAGTCCATCTACAGCATGAGGAAGAAGTTCGTCACTGAGGACTCGGACTACATGTCCAACACCATCCTTGAGTACTGCCTGGACACGGCGGAGGAGATCGTTCCCAACTACATCAAGGAAGGGAAACTCGACGCCTCAGGCCTCGCCAACAAGCTCGCGCAGTTCTTCGACGGCATCCAGCTCAAGGACTCGGATATCGCAGCCCTCAAGTCTCGCGATGAAGTGCGGCAGGTGGTCCGCAGGCAAGTGGAGGAGGTGCTGGAGAGGAAGGAGGGAGAGCTGGATGCGGTGAAGGAGAGCTTCTCGTTCGAGATCGAGAGGTACATCATCCTCACGCAAGTGGATCTTCTCTGGAAGCAGCACCTCAAGGATATCGATTTCCTCAAGGATTTCATCGGACTTCGCGCGTACAAGGGCGACCCTTTCATTGAATTCCAGCAGGAGGGCTTCGAGCTGTATCAGGACATGCTCAAGGCAGTCAGACGGTTAGCATCCATCCAGTCTCTCCCCCACCTAACTGCGTCTCCTTCCTCCTCCTTCAGCTCCCTCCGACTCGTTCCTGCTTTCACCGTGCTTACAAGCGACTTCCTTGACCTGACTGTCGTTGTGTGATCCAGGAACACCGTCTACTCCTTCTTCCAGTACAAGCTCAAGAACGAGGAGAACAAGGCAAAGGTGCGCTCCCTCTCCAGGTTGCCGTCTCTCTGACCCCCTTGCAATGTAACAGGCTGCAAGCGCTGCCCCTAAGAAGAAGAAGGTGAATGTTGCTCCTCCTCCTCCCGTCCTCCCCTTCTCCTCCCCTGCTCCAGTTGCTTTCCTTTGTCGGTTCCTGCTCGTCTCCACCATTCCCTGTGCTGCGTCTTTCTCACTGTCGCCCTGCAGGGAGGCAAGAAGAAGTGAGCAGAGGGGACGATATTCATTTCAGCCTGCAAGAAGGGGATAAAGTTCAGGGATACATCTTCATTCACTGTTCAGCTCCAGCTGTTTGTGTTGTTTGACAAAAAACAAGCTTGTCATTCCTTTCTTCTTACAAGATGTCGCATAGCACTTGCCTCATCTCTCCTCCCTCCCTCCCTCCTCAACCCCTGCACTGCCACATCGACCATTATCAACATACGCCGTTTTCTTCTGAGCACTCGGTGCAAGTTCCGACGTATCTCACAGCATAGACAGGAACCTTGTCATGAGGTCAGATGGGTTGACAAGCAGCTGATCGGCAACCTCTACTACTGCCTCAGTCTTGGCCACGACGCATCTCCATTCATCGAACTCGCCGTCGCCGTCGCGTCTCAACAGTTTCCTGACCTGACAACAAGAAGAAATTTCGAAAATCAGCCAGCAGGAGAGGGAGGAACGACATGTGCGAGTCGTTACCTTCACTTCGCCGTCCGTCGAGTCTTCCACAACCATCCCCATGTTCACTTGCTTGAATCCTTCCAGTACGTACTCCACGATATCGCCCTCTGTGAGGTGAGTCACCGCGTGTAGAGCTTCAGAAGTGCAGCAGAGCCGCACCAAGAGGAACGAAGTTGTCAGAGCTTTCATGCATGCGATATCCTGCTTCGTCCAACGGATCCACACGCTGCATCTTTACGAGGTCTTCGCCGTCCCAGTCTGTAAAATCCAAAGGCATTCAGAGGGACTGACGCTTATCGACGTTGAGAAAGCGCAATCAAGGTCAAAGACATTGCAATCAAACAGAACTTCACATCAAGAATGTCCCAACATCACGGAAGATCTTCATGTTCAGGTACCGCTGAATTCAATTTGTGCCTTCATCTTGCTTGCTTCATGTACCCTCGGCCGAAGTGGAGCCACTCTCGGAAGCATGGTGAGACGCATGGCATCTGCGGTGAGAGGAGCGCGAAGGTGGTGAGAGAGCATGAGAGCACAAGGGGGCGAAAAGGCGGCGGCTCCCGCTATCTGCATGGCCAGCAACAAAAGTGCGCTTCCCGCCATGCTGACGAGTTTCCTCAACCCTCATACCGACAATAACGGTAAGTAACGCTTTTTCATGCCTTACCCTACGATTTGACAAGCTTGTCGTGCAAGGAGGTGCAAAACATGGCAGGTGAAAAGGAAGAAGCGACTTTATACGCGTTCGATGCTGATGCCAGACGATGGACGACCACCCAAGTCAGCGTCTCGACAAGCGATCAACCTTCCTCGTCACCAGCAGCACAGGCTGCTCAGACCATCCTGCACGCGACGATAAAACCAATGACAGGGGGCGACGATGACTGGCAGGAAGAATGTTGGCTGCTAGAGCAGGGACAATTCAATACCAATCCCTCAAACTTAAATGCGCTAATGAAAAGCAGACAAAAAATCGAGATGCATGAGAAAGCAATCATGTATTCCATGATGTTTTTCCAGGTTAGTCTTGCTCTTGCTTTTCCTTGTCTTGTTCTTGCGTTCTCCTGATTCCATTTTTCTCTCCTCCAGCCATTTCCCAAGTCTTTCTGCCCGAAGCTAGGCAAACGTCGCATCCTAGTTCGAACACATACCAAGCCACCCACGTTCTACGAGACCGAAGACCGCGATGGAGAATCGAGGGAATTCGAGGCGATCCGCGTCTGCCGGGGGGCGTTGGAGGGCCCAAGATCGGCAGACGTGCACAAACTAGCCATGTGCTGCAGATCCTTGTACCGATACACGAACCGCAGCATGGCGATGGCTGAAGTTGACTTTGCCAATGGTTTCTGGACTTGTCCGAAGATTGTAACCGGAAACCAGGTTGTTGAAGAGGTATGGCGAATCAATCATGACAGAATGTTGACCTTCTGCGGCAGATCAAAGAATTCAGTGAGTTGTACTCCAGTCTACTCGGCATCTCTGCCAATGACGTCATCGCCATGGAAGATCGAGCCTTTTTTCAACTCTTGATTGAGCGCAAACTACTCTCGTTGGACCCGGAACAAACAGAGCTCACCACTGATATGTCTGCATCCAACTTACACCTCGATTTGTTTGATGATTCTCCTACCAAATTTCCTTTTGCTGTGCCTCCTGTATACCGAAACATATCGCCTGAGGTGTTTCAGAACGACGTTGCCTACGATCGGGATCTCGAAGACGTGAAGCAATCGATCGTTCTTTGTGCTTCAAACCCTCACGAGTTTCAGGTGGACTACAGAGTTTCTTCTCGAGACATCCAGTTGAAGGTCAGAAGTTCAACCCTCCTCTGCCTCTATCTCACACATGTCGCTCAAGCACTGGAGCACGCAGGGGCTGGTGCTGGGCATGACGTCGACTGAGAATCGTCTGAAGGTGATGCAGCCCTCGCATGTGGATGAAGCTTACGAGCTAAATTTCAATGTCATCAACAGCTTAGGAAGAGCTGCCTGAGCGCTGAGGAAGAGAGACAATTGTCTTGGACGAAACAGACAATGTCTCGTGTTGAACTGCTACATATCCAAGCTTCATACAAACACAGATCTGCTTTTTGTTAACCAGTTTCATCCTAGATGAGATATTATGATGAGTGTGATGGACTTAAAGGAATACGTTGCAGCGATGTAGCAAGTAGAGCAAGAATGTGACAAAACAATGTTCTTACAATACAATCTCTCTATTTTACACTTTCTCCGCTTCTGATGCGTTCCTGTCATTTCACGAAAAACCCATGTCAGCTCAAATCTCTTCCACATTTTACGTGAAGACACGACTACCAACTCTCAACCTCTTCATCTCAGCACTCCAATCATCTCCGCTCCTTCCCTGTGTCCTCCATCATCCTCACCTCTCTTTCGCTCCCACTGATCGCAGGAATTGTTCAACCTCCACCTGCTCAAAGCTTCACGATCAGTTCGCACCCTTCCTTCCCTTCTCCTTACATGTCCCGCTGATAGAGAGAGAGGAGTATCCCCGGCCGACGTCTCAGCATCAATGTTCGCCCCTGCCTGTTTGGCTTCAGCAAAGTCCCATGCTCCTCCTTCCATAGCCACTCGCTCAACTATCCTCCCTCCCCTCTCCCCAACCTTCCTGGTGTTGTTCTCAAATCCCTCTCTTCCTTCCCTTTCTATTCCTCCCTTCCCCTCCCCCCCATCCTCGTCCCCTCATCGTTTTTCTTTCGATTTGCTCTACCTTGATCAGCTGTCGAACAATCGCAAGATGACCTCGCGACGCTGCCAAGTGTCTGGGCATCAGTCAGAACCAGGCGGGGAGGAACTGGTCAGATAGAGACGAAGGGCCAAGCTGGTGAGGTCAAACAAGAACAGGGCATAGCGGCAAAGAAGCTGGTGGGAATGAGAGGCGCACAATGCTTGGAAGCCATTCTCGTCTCGGACGTTTAAATTTGCGTTTCCTCTCAGCAGTTTCTCAACCTGCCGTCAAGGTCATCAACAGAAGGCCGACCTTTCCCCCTCACCGCTTCACTATCCCCTTCCCTTGCGCCTTCCAGCAGCGACTCGTCGCGCTCCGATGGAGTTTCGCCTGCCCGGTCTCCCGAGATGGCTGAGTATCCCCGCATGCTCGGGAGAATCCCTCCTGTCGCTACCGTCCCTCCCAAGAAAGCAGCTCCCACGCACTGCAAGCACAAGTCTCAAAGTCCACAAGCAGCCACGTGTAGCCTTACGATGATGCAGAAGAAAGTGAAGAGCGTGATGGCTAAGAGAACAACTGTGATCTGAATGGAATCATCCTCTTCCATCACCAAGCAGGAACTTTCACCTTGAAGAGCAGCGCAAGATGCCAAAATCTTTTCTCGAAGAACTCCATACAAGCGTCTTCGACTTGTCAGGTCAAGCATACCAAGCGCCTCAGCTTACCTCCCATCGAGCTCCACAGCATGATTCCCCATATCGCCATCGACAGACTGGCAGCGAGCGGTCACGGGAGGGTGGAGGCAGAGGGTGAAGGTCGAATATCACCAACCCCTGACTCACTTGATGAGCGGAGGTACCGCAGTGAGGCCAGTGAGGGTGGTGAAGGCGGCGATGATAGCTGAGAGAGTTCCAAGCACGGGAACAAGAATCATCACCTGACACGAGATCAGCGAGACTCCTTGCCCCTCCTCCATCTCCCTCACAGTCAGGCATAACAACCAGATGTTGTATCTTGATCCACACGCTGTTGTTGTGGACTCTCTGGTGAAATCATTCAGATTCTCCTCAGATAACAGGAGCACAGCATATCACATGGTTGTGAACAGTGTCCATATCGCCCAGATCATGTAGATCAAGCCCAATACACACAAGATGCTAGCACGTCTAATTCAGTCTCTTGACGCCTATCCCATCACAGGAGCACCAGGCGCAGCATACGGCGAACATGACTGCGACAGACATGGGTTTGTTCCCCAGTCCGTCTTGTGAGGACCTGCTGTCTGCTGCCATGCACAGTCATGTCTCGAGGAGCAGGGTCGTGAGATACCATGATCAGGTCGTCTGAAATTCCTTTCGCGATCCTAGAGGATAAGGAATCAGAATGAAGTTTGGTGTATGGATGAAGTCTTTCAGAGCAGAGGCTCTATCCATCTCGCTCCTCTCACTTCTTCTCTCCTCTCTCCCTACCCTTCCTCCTCTCTCTTCTCGTCCCTTCCTCGACACCTCCTCAACAAACCTGCGCCATGACGAAGTGACGAGCTTGAAGAACCGAGGCGGGCTTGCATCGGGGAGCGAAAGGAGGCGTGATGGGCGAGTGCCATCGCAGTGGAGGGGGGCAGAGCGCCATGTTGATGCACGCGTCCTCCTCTCTCCTCCTCTCCTCCTCCTCTCCTCCTCATCTTGGTTCCTCGCTCACTCCTCACCTCTCATGCTCCTCATCCTCTCGAGCTCTTGCTTTCCGCCCTCGTGAGCCGTCACGTGTAGTCATAGCAAGTGCCTTGGAGGGACGAGGAAGCAGATCGTTCGAGAAGTTCATCGGGAGGACCAGGCCTGACAAGGTGCCGGACAACTACGGCAGAGGTAGGAACAATGCAGTCAGCAGCTCTTCCCCTCCCTGACTTGGCCGTCGGCATCGCAGGTGGATGGTACGGGATGGTGTTCTCAGGGCTGGGACCAGCAGGCAGAGGAGTTGACCAGCAGGAAGATGTTGACGCGTGTCTGCAGGGGCAGCTGTCTTCACGAATCCTTTTGACGTCGCAAAAGTCAGGATGCAGCTGCAGGTCCCTGATCGCATGCAGGGCAGGCGGAGGATCTGACCGGTGCTATTCGATTGAGACAGGGGGAGGCGTCATCAGGAGGAAAGAAAGTCTACAAGAATGTCTTTGACTGCATCATCAAGACTCTGCAATCAGAGGTCCTGCCTGTCTGCTCTCAACCTCATCTCTGATGCTCCCCAGGGTCTTGAAGGAACGCAGCGGGGGCTGACGGCTGCCATCATTCGAGAAGGATCGAAGAACTTCTTTCGCATAGGCCTCTTTGAGCCCGTCCTTGACCAGCTGCATGGCACTGAGCACAAAACTGCCCCTGTGTGGAAGCGACTCGTTGCTGGAGGAATATCTGGAGCAGTGGGAGCGATGATATGCAACCCGATCGAGATAGTCAAGACAAGACTGCAAGTGACTTAACTTGATGCCTCTCAGCGTGTCAGTAATGGAGCCTTCAGGCCTCCAGTGTTGCTGCTACCTCTGTAGGGTATCAGGGATACAAGTACAAGGGCTTTCTCGACAGCTTTCGCGTCATCACCAGGCAGGAAGGAGCGTCAGCTCTTTGGCTGGGAACGGGGATCAGCACCATTCGCTCGATTCTTGCGACAAGTGCCAACATGACAGTGAACAGCATAAGGCAAGCCGATTTTCTCTGCCTTCCCTCCTCTCATCATTGTTCCAGCAAGGAGAAGCTTCTACATGACCCGCACTACGCACATCTAGGATTCAAGGTGAACCCACGCGTCCCCTGCCGTGTGTCAGTCTGAGGTTGACGATTCAGCCTGGCGCCATCACAGATGGAGTCTGCGCCATGTTCTCTGGTCTTGCTTGTGTGGCTGCCAACAATCCAGGTCTGCCATTCATCATCACCACCATCCTCCTCCTCCTCCTCCTCCTCCTCCTCCTCCTCCTCCTCATCATCATCATCATCAGCATCATCATGTTCACCACCACCACCACCACCACCACCACCACCATCAGCAGCAGCAGCAGCAGCAGCAGCAGCAGCTCTTTGACGAACTTCTTCTTCAGCGGACGTGATAAGGACGCGCTTATACAACCAACCATTCAAGATTGTAAATGGAAAGCGTGTGGGCGAGTACTACCCCAGGTCAAGCAGGGCAAGGAGAGATGTAAGCTGATGCTTCTTCAGCACCTTGGGCTGTGCAATGAGTATCCTTCGATCCGAAGGGCCTCTGGCGTTCTGGAAAGGTGAAGTCAATGATCTGAGTCAACGTTCTTACACGTGATCGGCAGGGTTTACGGGCCACTACTTGCGTACAGGACCTCATTACATAGTTTGCTTTGTTTTCATTGGTACACAGGACTGAGGCTTTCACTTTCCCACGTTGACTTTCTGGTTGGAAGGATACTTGCAAAGGGGAGCGAGATATCTGAAGGAGCAAGACAATCGCAGGAGATGGGAGAGCGAGTACATCCATCCTGATGTATTCATCACCGCTTATACTCTCATCAGGATGAACACATTGTTTGTCAAGTACGCAGATCATGACACGAAGACTTGGACGTTCGAGTAATCATCTCATCGATGTTTTGCGACAGCGTCATGACAGGAAGAATTTCAGGTCGATTCAGAATGCCATGCTCTCAGCGGTGGAAGAAGATTCTCAAATCAAACGAACACAGTGAATTTTTCTTGTTCCTCCAATGCTTCTCCTAACCGTGACAAGGTCCAAGGAGAGAATCCGAAAGGATGCGGAAATTTTCCTCATCTCGCTGCACAAGACCCCCAGTGACTCGATCAACTTTGAAGAATTCAAGCAGGTCTCAGAGCAGTCGCCGCACGTTCCTGCTGATCTACCTTGTTAGGTTGCAGCCGAGTACTTCAACTACGCAGTTGCATGCCACGTTCAGAAGGATGTATGAAATGTTTTGAAGAAACAACCTAGAATAAAACAACTTTGATGAGAATGAGTGTTCGTGAATTATCCACAACCAAATATGTACAGAAGAAGGGAATGATCGAGCTCGCAAAATTAAGAGTTGTTGATGTGATAGTTGTCTGTCTGCTTCCCATATTCTGTGACAACATCAAAGGACCGCTTTTGCGTATAAACTCTTGCCTGATGCATGTTTCCACCATGGTGCGGTGGAGTAGGGGATGTAGCCGGGCGTTGCCTCTACTTGTGCTTCTGGGCAGGCAGTGGACTCACAGGAAGCGAAAGGATCGTCCGCTGGACTGTCAGAGACGTTAGAATGAAGAGTTATGACAGCCATCGCGCACTCACAGAACATTGACTTGCTTGAGTTTGTAGAACCTCGTGAGTTTGACGAGCAGAGAGAACATGCGCAACAGCCAACTGTGAATTGAGTTACTCGAATATCTGGACCAAGAAATATCGAAGCCCCATGCCTCCCTGCCTCCCTCTTCCTCTCATTTTCCCCCCAGCCCCCCCATCCCTCTCCCTGCATCCCTTCCCTGCTTCTCTGCCTCCCTTCTTTCCTCTACCTGTACTTTTCTCCCTCTCTCCCTCCCTTCTTTCCTCTACCTATACCTCTCTCCCTCCCTTCTTTCCTCTATCTGTACTTTTCTCCCTCTCTCCCTCTCCCTGCCTTCTTTCCTCTACCTATACCTCTCTCCCTCTCCCTCTCTTCTTTCCTCTACCTGTACCTCTCTCCCTCTGACTGCCTTCTTTCCTCTACCTGTACCTCTCTCCCTCTGACTGCCTTCTTTCCTCTACCTGTACCTCTCTCCCTCTCTCCCTCCCTTCTTTCCTCTATCTGTACTTTTCTCCCTCTCTCCCTCTCTCTGCCTTCTTTCCTCTACCTATACCTCTCTCCCTCTCTCCCTGCCTTCTTTCCTCTATCTGTACCTCTCTCCCTCTTCCCTCTCCTCTCCCTTCCTATTTTGCTTTCCATCCATCCTGGTCCCTGTTCTCTCAGCATTTCTATTTCAGCTCTTCGCTACCCTACACCCTAAATTGTCTAATTCGGACTACTACCCCATAAAACTGAAATTGGGTTGGCGTGAAATACATACATTTAATTGGTGAAATAAATCGGTTGTTGATGTCATTAGCTGCTGATAGAGATGGAGGAGAAGAAAGCGAGATGGTTGAGATGATAGGGAGATGGTTGAGGTGATAGAGAGATGGTTGAGATGATAGAGTGATGGTTGAGATGATAGAGAGATGGTTGAGATGATAGAGAGATGGTTGAGGTGATAGAGAGATGGTTGAGATGATAGAGAGATGGTTGAGGTGATAGAGAGATGGTTGAGATGATAGAGAGATGGTTGAGGTGATAGAGAGATGGTTGAGATGATAGAGAGATGGTTGAGGTGATAGAGAGATGGTTGTGGTGATAGAGAGATGGTTGAGGTGATAGAGAGATGGTTGAGATGTCCTTGTATATCTCAAGCATGATGGCTGTATGTCGGCATGATGGCTGTATATCGGGATGATGGCTGTATATCGGGATGATGGCTGTATATCGGGATGATGGCTGTATATCGGGATGATGGCTGTATATCGGGATGATGGCTGTATATCGGCATGATGGCTGTATATCGGGATGATGGCTGTATATCGGGATGATGGCTGTATATCGGCATCATCGCGCTTTTTGCTGTTTTGCACTTTGCGATGTCCACCTGATGTACCCTACCCTACCAGGTGTTCTGATACTCATTTTGATAACCCTACCCTACCCTTACATATTAACCTTTCCTTTACTTCAAGTACCCCTTGCTTTCCCATTTCCCTGAGACACCCTACCCCTTATGCATATCACCCTATCAGTAACTCTGGCCGGAGGTACCCCCTTCCATCGCCTCGCCAACCCCTCGAGCTACACCGCTTCTTGCGGGGGCATGGGAGGAGGGATGGGAGGGGGGGTCGAGGACGACAGAGGGGATGGGGGGAGCGAGGCAGAGGCGAGGTAGAGGCGATGGTGTTAGCAGGTAGATTGCATGCCTCAAAGTTAGAACGAGAGTGCGCGGCACTTGGAGACAGACGAGACAGATTCATCTCAGTTTGTCTTTCTTTTCGCCCAGTCTCACTCTCTAAGCAGGTATTCGACATGGAATGGCTTAAGAATGCTGCCGCAAAAGCACAGGCTTCGCTACAGGTTACTGATGGGACCAGCGTGACTGTTTGTGGTGACTCGTTGTCACAGGAGGCTGGAGTGGTGGAGAAACTAGCACCTGTTGCATCGGTTGCGAATGAGACGAAGACCTTGTTTTCTCAGTTTGGCAGCTCCTTGGAAGAATCATTCAACAAGAAGACAGCAGGTTCACTGAAATATTTGTCTTGTCGTTTCCTGCCGTCACGTTCCATGTTGTACTGCAGAAGCCAAGAGTGGAAGTGAAGGGGACGTCTCGTTCGACAAGATCGGAGCTCCGTGGGTCACATCTCACTTGGGGTTAAAGGTGAGACAAGGAAGCATGCACGTCTGCCTCTGACGCGGAGCTTCAGCCATTCGAAGCCGACATGAAAGCAAGCATGCTGAAGATCACAGAGGTTGAGAGCGCCTTTGGATCTCACAGGCATGTTGAAAGAAGTTTTGCAGGGAAGCGACGAGGAAGTGAAGGCGAGGTTGAAGGAGCGAGTTCCTGATGACGACTTTGTGAGCTTTCCTCTCCTCCTCCTCCTCGTGTGACATGGCGTCTTTGCTGTGCCGTATCTAAGACCTTCGACTTCTTGGAACCCTCATGCACTAAACGGGCGATGGCTGCGTTGGAGGCTGATGCAAACCTCAAGGTGGTTGAGCTTAGGTTCTTGGATGATTTTGATGATGAGTGTTGCTGTTGCAGAAAGCCCGACACAAGCTTGTGCCTAGCAAGATCAAGGAAGAAGAGTGAGTGATATGATCCGTGCTGACTTTGCACCTGTATCAAGATGTTCAGGACTTGACAGTTTCCCCTTACACAGCTTCTGGAGGAGCTACTTTTACAAGTGTGAGATGATCGTGCAATCATACTTGAAGATGTGCGTCGAGAGCAAGAGGACCCGCGAGAACACGTCGAGCACGTAAACAATTTTTTTGCGAACCTCCCGAGCTCTGATCTCGTTGTAGCACCAGGTACCCTGATCCCACAGATAATCTCGACTTCGAAGGAGCAGAATTCGTCAGTGACGAGCCGGTTTGTTTCCTATCATCGATCCTGTCCTGTCCCATGTTCACGACGAACTGAGGGCCAGCTTTCTTGATCTCCTGCTCCCTGTCCTTGTCTCCACCTTTCTTCTTTCTGCTTGCCCTTCCTTTTGTTGGCTTGCCTCATTCAGCTCGCTAGGTCAACAAGCCGGCCACAAGCGCGGGGACCTCGGCTACCAAGACTGACTCTGGTCTCTCATGGGAAGAGGAGATGGCGAAAGAGCTTGAGGGAATCGACGTCGGACCTTCAGACAAGTCGAAGGCAAGCGATGCGAAGCCGATAGATGACCTTGACGACGAAGACTTTGAGAAAGAGCTGGGAATCTAGAGGAGAAAGCAGAAGGTGGATTTTCGACGGCTCAAAACGCTTCGGAGAGCTTTGATTTCATTATTTTGAGTCACTTTGATGCAACAAGTTTGCGATGAATAGAAATTGATCCTGACAAGAGGCTAAGCTGCATAGCATCATACGAACATGATTCTTACTGCGTGTTGCATCCTTGTCCGATCGAACGTTTCCTCCTTGAAAAACTTTCCCAAGTGTGGAAGACCGCCTGTTGGCGCATCACAATCATTCAATTGCTTCTGACTTGTATCCATCACCTTGGTCCCGGAAAAACTCCTCCAGTCTGTCAGCCGCCTGGCTAGCATCTTCGCTTTGTTGTCGTCAATAGAAGAAGAGGACAGACGGTACTTACCTCTTCCAATAGATGTTGAAGCAGCATAACGCTTCGCTCGCTCCCAACATCGCAGGGTTTTTCTCTTTTCCGATAAATTTTATCTCCACGATCCTACCGAGGTAATCCCTTGTTGGCATGTCATGGCGGAACATGGAGGCCTCCAGGAGAGTCGTCACGATCTCTCGCAACCTATTCAACGGAAAGTTGTACTGCAAGGAGAGGTGCTTCCCCGACCCGAAGTCATCCTCTTGCTCTTGGCCAGCGACTTTCTGCGGCGGGGGGAATGGAAACCAATTCTTGCCGTGGTACCGGTCGCTCTTCCAGAATCGAGGGAGATGGTCTGACTCGAGACGGTGGAGGAGAACTTGGTCGGGGAGGGGGTAGTCTTGTGAGTCAGCAGGGTGATCTCCTCTCGCATCAGGTTGAGGCTGACACGGTTCCTTGGCTACTTGCTGACTTGCGTCTTCTCCCTCCTTCCTCCTCAATCCGACCACAGTGACTTCTCCTCCTCCTAACCGCATGTGCCCCCAAACGTGCTCGTAGCTGGCATGTAGCCCTCTCCCTTCCTCGCAAGCTAACTCGCAGAAGTTTTCTGCCCATCATCGAATGAACAACTCTTTCACGGATTTTCACAACTGAGACGTAGGCTCACCTATGGAGAGAGAAATCACTTCCTGCTCCACATGATAGACACGTTCAACACGCAAGACCACCTGTAACATCAACAACCTCACGAACTTACTTAAGAATTTGAGAAAGTTTACCTCTGTTATTATTCCCAGCTGGCCCAGACTCATCCTAGCAGCTCTGAAAAGACTCTCGTCATCCACCTCCTGGTCCCTGAGCGCTTCAGAGCTTGACTGCTGCTGGGGCTGACAACATCCCAAGGTCTTCAGTTCACCGTTTGGCAGAATCATCTTGAGACCCTGGTATCATGTCTCACGTCCAAGCCTCTCATGTCCTTCGAACACTATCCCCCAACTCCTCGACTGATTCGCTTGTTCAATTACCTTGACAAGCTCTGAGGTTGTGCCATATCGTAAGCTACTTCCATGCGACCCTGTCGAGATCATCCCGCCAATCGTTTGGTCCAACAGGATCTCGAATGGCAGCAACAGATCATCGCATGCACATTCTCAATGACAGAAACAAGGGAAAGGAAAACAGCAGCCACTGAATGCAGTAAACATGGAGCATCCAATGCAGACGAAGACACAGCTAGGAGCATCTAGACGAGACGAAGACACAGCTAGGAGCATCTAGACGAGACGAAGACACAGGTTCTCTTACAGGTACAGAGGGGATGCAGAGGTCATGGTAGGAAAGCGCAGAGATGAGGGACCGCAGGAGGCAGCCGGCCTGGACATGCACAGCTTGACTGCCATCCTTGAAGGAGAAGTCAGACCTTCAGTCAGAGAACCATCGATTCCACCGGGAGAGTTGAAATTCCGAGGATGCGGTTATAAGACTTCATGTCCACTCGCAGAAAAGATGTCTCAGCCCACCTGATGCAAGAAGAGAATGAGAATCAGAGCGAAGAGATGTGGCAGAACAACGAGAGAAGTGACAGCATACTAGGAAATGGGAGCATGGCACAGTTACCTACTCCAGCTGTGATCAGCACCTACAGGTACCACTCCAGAAGTATTCAAATTCACCTGAACAGCAAGTATGTCAAGATCTACGATTTATGATTTCACAGACTTCCTTACATTAAAATCCACCATAGGGCATGAGACGCTCTGTTCATGTTTCTTACCATGTGTTGTCCTCATAATTCTGCAAATAGATCAGAAAGCTATGGAGCTTTGAACACTGAAACAACTTTTGCATGTCTTCAACATTTGTAAACCGATAAACAAACAAGGGAGAACACTGTCTTGTCCCGCTAGCGCTTGTCAAAGTTGTTCTTGGCAGCAGCGGGCAGCAGTTTGGCAGATTTAATCGTGCTGGATGATCTTCTCTGCTGAGGATATCAGCGACAACATCGCACACGTCTTCAACAAGCTTTTGACGCATCATGTTTTCACTTTCCCGCGTCTGTTTCCCTGAGTTACGCTGGAGTCGCTTGATGCTCCATACGACTGCAGCATCATAGAGGGCCTCGTCTGGTGAGGTTGTTGCTGACGTTTCAATCTTTACACCTCGCTCCTTCGCCTTCACAATCTCGTCATCCCCTCACAATCGACTGGTCGTCACCATGGCTACCTTGGCACAATCTCTCAACGCTGACCACATGGCCTCTTGTACTCCTCCACTGATCCATGAGTCCTTTGCATTCAGTTTGAATGTTGTTGATTCCAAAGGCTCTCGGTTTAGGTCACTGGATAGCAAATCGAATTGCAGGCGATTGCTTTCGAATTCCCATATCAAAGAGCCCTTCTCTGTTTCAATTGATAATCCATTAGAGCAGGTATTATCTGTGCTGGAATACTCCTGGTCATCTTTGAAAGGAACTCCTTCTCTATCATGTGATGCAAGAAATTTGATGCTGATGAGACCAGTTAACCCATTTTCATGATGAAGTTTAGCTTGAGACTCCTCAAGATCTCGTTCAGACCGTAGAGCTTCATCTGCATGATCAATCTCATAAGACAAAACGATAGTTGCGCAATTGCAAAGACAACGTTCATGCGAGGAGGTCACGGAGGAAATGTGGCCAAACAACACTCGGAGAGACCTTACCTGAACAATCATCAGTGCACAGGCCTGTCGATGCAAAATATATACGAAATGCACTCCAACATCAAGGACCCATCCTCCATCTTCATCCTCCTCTTTCTCGTTGTTGTGCAGATACTCGCCCCTCCACCCTGTCAAGCTTGACAACAGAATGATCTTCACAAACAAGACCGTGGACTTGAAACACCTCGGTGGAGCGAGAATCTGATGGAATATCAGCTTGTAGCTTGTCACCCTGCCAAGACAGCAACTCTGTACTTGTATCAGTTCCGGCTTCTAGGCTACCAGGCACGCAGACATTCAAGAGATCCTTAATTTTCATCACGACCGGTTTGCAACTCCAGTTCTCAAGGACGTTCCACGTGCATCCTGTGCTCTAACGCGTACTTCATTCCCATGGCGACATGCTGTGACAGGTTTCATCCCCTACCTTTTGAAGGAAGCTTTTCCAGACCCTCGATAGCTGAGCATAGTTCACTGACCGTCTATACGCAAGTATTTTCTACCTGCTGTAACGACCCAGCTGCAGGTTTCTCCGAAATCACAATTTTCCCGGCGTTCAAACATTTTGAAACCTAAGAATGTAGATTGTGAAGAGAACACATCGATGCCGGTATTCACTCACAGCATTCGCCATGTCCGGGATTGGAAGCGCAAGGTCAGCAATCTGCCGCCCCCTCAGTCACAGTCTCCCACAAATCTTGCTTATACGTCGAACTCGCACCCGCCGAGAAGATCGTCGATGCTCGTAAAGCTGGCGATGCTGCTGCAAACTCTCGTCATTGTCATTGTCTGCGAGCCGCGGGCTTACCTTGCTCTTCCTCGACCCAGTCGCCGCTTGGCCTGCTCAATCGAGGCATTTGTCCTGCTACATAACGCTACTAGGCGAATTTTGACTCCGAGAACCTGCAGATGTTGAGATACAACGAGTCTAGCTCGTGATATGCTCACGTTCATGGACGATTCTTCTGCTCGCAGGAGCGCTGGTATGTGAGCTTTCCTCGCAAACCATCCACATCCGACCATAGCAACTCGAAGCTCCTTGAGCTGCTGGATGGAACCAGCATCGCCCGCAAGCATCTGCAGCCATGATTCACCTAAAAAGATACGCTTGTCCTCGTCGTAACATTTTGCTGCTTCTCTTCGTCTTTTTCCTCGCCCTTCCTCTCCGCTTCCATCTCGATTCTGCGTGCATCAACCTGCCGCGATTCCTCCATTGCGACTGCTCCCCTGTATCGCACGTTAATTTTCGTTACATACCGCAATTGCAGTACTGGTGCGAAGGGACGCCAAAATGGCAGCACAACACATGGGGAGAGGGAGGCGGGAGATGGTGTGGCCAGCAGGATGAGGGTCAGAGGATACAGAGATAGGGCACAGAGAAGAGAGAAGGGTGGGAAGGCAGAGGAAGAGGGCGAGGGAGCGAGAGAGTGGGGGGAACAAAAGGAAAGGCGCGAAAGTGGCCAAGGGGAATAAGGAAAGATTTTGTCTCAGCAACATTTTAGCAGAGGGTCTTACAGGCTCTCATTGAAATGATTGTCCTGAAGACATGAGAGAGACTTTAGAAGAACTTGGGGGCTTGTGAACGAGGCCGCTGAAAAATGATGGTAACCGAGTGCTTCTGACTGCTGGAATTCTTTAAGGAATGGACTCCCTGCTCAGCCGTTGGAGACGGTCAGAATTATCGACCGTCAAGGCTGCTGGGGCTTCGGTAAGGCTCGTGTGAGTGTGATGGTGAGAGGGAATGACTGGTGCGACAGGTGCTCGCCATCGTCTTGTGTGTCCTCGTCGCTCGAACTTCGGTCTCTGGTAACGCATGGGCTGACAAGATGATCGCGCTGTTGCCCGTTATGCCTGACGGATGCTGACAGGCTCTCATCGGGCTATGCTCGTGCAGACAAGTTTGCAAGCACAAGCCAACAAGAACAAGTTGTTTCCTCAGGAATTTCTCGATGCAGCAGAGCGCGTGCAGGTGGACAGGGCGATCAAGATGATCGCTTTGAACTTGGACAGGGAGAAAGCAAAGCGAGCTAAGCTCATGCGTTTGCATCATAAGATCAGTCGGCGGTTGCGCTATCAGCAGGAGCTTGCCCGTCAACTCAAGGCGTCAGCGACAGATTTGTCTAATAAGGAGCTCGAGAAATACACGAGCTACCGTATTGCCAAGGGGAAGGAGGACAGCATCCAGCAACAAGTGGACCTTGACCATGAGCTTGCCTCTCTGATGGGAGCAAGAGCGCAGCAGGACAAGATCATGGCTGTCAACGCGATTGTAGATGCAGAGAATGAAGTGAAGCAGGCAGACGCGCTGCGTCACAAGATCCAAGAGCTCGGTGTCAAGGCTAGGAAGGAGGGCGAGGAGGCTGACGCGATGGTTATGACGGCTCACAGCCTCTTAGATGATACGATCAAGAAGCGAAGAATGGAGGAGAAAGCTTCTGGGGAACCAGCAGCGGCAGCCCAGGAGCCGCTGCTGAAGCGACTAAAGAAGCATCAAGTGATCGCTGAGCGAGAGATGGAGGACGACATCCGAGAGCTGGCAAGATCGCAGCTGCGAGAGAAGAAGCTGCTTGGCGTGGAGGGGGTCGACCCCATTTCACGCAACCTAGAGAGCATCAAGAACGTGCAAGGAGAGGCAAATCAGCTGCTGCATTGACACTTCACTAGCAATAAACAGACAAGATGAACTCAACTATGTACACCTACGCCTCCCTCCACCGCCGCCCTTGTTCCTTCTGTCACAGTCCTCCGCCCTTCTACCCTCGTCGCCAAGAGCTGCTTCCTCGGCATCGGTAGGGGCTGCTACTGCACAACCATTCGCCCCGATGCATCTTCATCGCAAGCTCCTCGTTGCCGCCATACCAGGACAGGGAAGGCTGAGAGCACGTAAGCTTGGAAAGAGTATCAACTACCCGACCTGTCCGGCGAATTCAATCCCATTTCTCTCCGTAGGGAAGGGAAGTGAATCTTGCCAGTCCATGCAGAAAAGCGAATCATGGGTCAGCTGCGGGGCTGGTGAGCGCATTGTGACTTGACGACATTCTTCACCTTGTCATTGTTCCAAGTGAAATAAGGCAGCATCACTGTGCTCCCGAACCACTCGTCCGTCCGAACATGGGCCTGATGCTTTTCCAAGAAGTCTTTGACCACCTGCTCGCCCGTTTCGATCCATTCAGACCATTTCAATCTATAGACATCATGCGCACCTCCACTATAGGACTTCCTTGAATCTCACATGGCGCTATGCAGCCCCACAGCCTAGAGTTGAAGGGTCGAGAATGAAGAACCGAGTCGCGCATGGAGTGAAGTTGTTTGCCGGACATGATCCAATGCTTCACCTAGAGCCTCGGGTCGTCAATGTCGTGTCCACATGCTCCAGTTATATCATACCGCATCGACCTCTCGCTGAATCACATCATGTCTGCAGAAGCAGATTAGCACTATGAGCGGAAGAACCACAATATACCCGGCCTCACGAACAATGATTCTCCTCCTCTTGCTGTCTCCCTTCGTGCCTGTGAACATTCAGTTCAACTGGAGCTTTACATCTTCAAAAACGACCGAATTCTAGGAAGGGCCAGAAAGCCCAAGTCATCTCTCCGTAGTCTTGAAGATGTCCTGCTGACAATATTTCGCCTCCAAGAGAGTAAATCTGTGCTCAACTTCCTTTATTCCATGAGGGTTGAACATTCCATCACCTCATCCTTCGTAGTCGTCGACGAACTTTCATCAAGATACACGTGGATGCGCCAGGTTGGACCGTATAACTTCTTCGCCTGACGGACGGAGTCCAACAGCTGAAGACATGTTTCAGTCTCAACGTGGCTTTGCGACAGCATGCCTGCTCTTCGCTGGCTGGAGAATGACGTCGACTATGAGAGAAGACGACCACACATTCCTCGTGAATGCACGGGCACTGTTCTTTCTTCCATAGTTGCTTGCCGATGAAATGCTGCATTCTGTTTGCGACTAAGAACGTATGAGAGTACCCCTCCACCAACTGATGATCGTATTGAAACCATGCTCTAAATCGGTAAATTCCTTTTTCCGTACAATGAACCAACACTGTTCAGTGACGGTGATTGCCAAATATGAATCACCTGGCTTATCTATAGCTAAATCAGTCAAGTTTGCCCCAAAGGATGCGACAGATTCTGCCAACAAGCTATCATAAAAGGCTGCATAGGAAAAAAGGAGTACCTCGGTTTGACTTGTCAATAACGGCTTGTGTGGTACCTTGACAAACCTGGTAAGACAAACCTGGAAAACGCACGTGAAGTAACCTAGCAAGTGTGTGCCGGCTGCTACCCAAGCAATCTCCTTCTGTTCCCCGGAGACATTTGGGGCCGATGATTGTAACTCCAACTCAAGCAAAGGATGAATGAGTCCAGTTCGTTTCCCTCTGTCCTTCGTTGAACACTCCTACACAAGTGAAACAAAGAGAATTAGGCGAGAATCTGTGAGAAAGTCCAATGAGGAAACCAAATAATCACCTTTGACGATGGGATGACAATACACGGGCGCTCCCACCAATTTTCTTGAAAAGCCTCGAACAAGTGTTGGCACCATGGAGAAACCAGGAAGAAGATTACCAGGCACAACGAAGAAAGGCAGTTGACTTCGACAGAAAACAAACGATGCATGAAAGGTTCTCCAAGTAATGCTACGGAGATCTCACCTGAGTTCAGTATCATATGAGGAAATAAGTTTCAGTTCAATGCAGAAGAATTCCTTGCTCCATTTTCCATTTCTGGTTTTTCAATATTCCCTCTGTACTGGTTTCTAAAACCTGTCGAATCTGATTCTGCACGGAAATGCTGCGTGAGTGAAGACAAGGAACTCTAGGGAGAAACAACCTCCACTTTAGTTTCGTAATCAGAGGTTCTGGATGTCCATCCTGTATAGAACAGCTGCAAAGTAGGCTTTAGATCCCAACAATCAAACATAGCAAGCTACCTCGACGTTGTGCGTCAATCCATCTTCATCTGGAAGGCGTCCAAGCTGTAAATGTTCAGCAAACAGACCAAAAGCCACACGTGTATCCATACTTTGTCACAGTATGCTAAGGTGACTTTGTTCTTCCATCGATCCGACAGGTCAGAGGGCTGTTTTGATTCATTATCTTCTTCATTCCAGTTCAAAACCAATCACCACGTCATGTTTGAAGCTTCGAAATTGCGTTTTCGCGTTGGAGTTGTCATGGAAAGTTTCTCCGTAGAGAAGGAGATTCGCATGTCTTGCAACCGCTGCATATCATAAGCTGCAGTCTGACAGCGCCGGGGAGTCTTACCTCCATTGTACATGAGCACTGGCCGTCCCATCCTCCGAGCATGTGCAGCAATTGAGAAATGCTTCGAGCGCAAATTGATACAGAAACCACAAAGCAAAATTTACAATACCTCGGTAAAAGCTGGGTGATCTTCATACAATACCATTCCTTCAGAATAGATGTCGGCAGCAACTATGTAGATCGTTCCAACCCTGCGGTTCGGGCAACAGCGCATTGTTCATTCCATGCTCGAGACTAACAAAGATTGGAACACCCGTCTAACGATTCCACGTCAGAAGGGATATAGCTTGAGCAGCGCTACACGACATAGCATTAGAATGATCATTCCACAATTCAACAAACCTCTACTATTGAGAGATTAGAAAGCTGTCTAGAACAAGGAGCATTGCCTTTCAAAACATACGGATACAACCTGAATTCACAAGGTATGCTCATAAAACATCAACAGCAATTCATGGCTACCTGTCAACATTTCTTCCCTCAAGATAGGGTGTGGGGTTCGAAGGATGCAGGGTGCTCTGGATAGAAGAATCAACTGGATGGAGAACGTGGAGCTACCAACCTCTAGCACGAAGGCAGTTGTGTCATAGAACTGGTCTGTCCCCAACGGTCCCGGCTCCTCTGCCACAGGTAAGATGTATGTTTCTCCTAAACTTTCAAGCGACCCAGAAGCACAAGAGGAGCAGTCATTCCATGCGGGTTCGATCGTATCAACTGCACCGACTTGAGATTAGTAAATAGCATCAACGAATCGACGCACCTTGCTGGGCAAATCTGGAGGATAAGAAACGAGATCAGAGTCGATCCTGCAGCAAAGCTTTAGGGTCTTCCTCGAAGTGATATCTATCTCTACCACATGACGTAGTCAAAATCTTCTGCCATTCGAATTCGTGACATCATAATGTTTCGTATTCGCACAGTCTTGCCACACGCGATTAGAACTTTCTACAGATTCAATCTAGGGAAGCACACCTTGGAGAGAGGCCGTCTATCTGAACTTTGTTTTGGAACGTGCCTTAAAAATTCGATCAAGAGAGGAAATGTGAGATAATAATAGTTTTTCTCACTCATCAAATACAAACAGAGAGATGTTGAGATCCGGATTCCCGTCGCGTAGTGCAATCAAAGCAGCTGACAACATCGATCAATGCAAGTATATTGTTCAACTTGTTTCGGCATCACTCTCGGCCAATTTTTCTATTTGAGGATGTATTTCCTACATACACATCATCATTTACAGTCAGTCATCAGGATGTGTCATGTCACAATTCAACCTTGCGTTTGGGAAACATCACGATGACTCGCGGGAGGGTCGAAGCGACATGTCTCCTTCTGAGTGCGATCAATCCAACAGACAGACGCACAAGGAATGAGTTGGTACATCTTTACAGGTCTACTCGGTATCGAAGCTCCCGCAAGCAAGAAGGAAAATGCTGCAGTGAGTCCTGTCCAGGTTGCGTCATTTCAACTTACAGCACCCATTTCAAAACATCTGACCGCTAGCCACCAGCATGGTTTGCTCCCATTGCTTCTCATGTGTCGCCCTTGCCTGTTCATTCTCAGCGATTCTATCTTTCCTCCAGCAACTCAAGACTTTCACCACAAGCAATCTGAAGGTATCAATGCTTGCTCTAATGCCCAAGGTGTAGAAGAGTACGACAGCTATGCAGAAGCCAAAAAAAGCGAGTGGATATCTGCCAAGCATCACCCCTTGCAGCATGCAGTCAGGTAAAACATGTTACCTTTCATGGCCAGGGGAAATGGGCGTCAGTGAGCATTGACTGAAGCCATGCTCCCACTCCATTTTATGAGCGCGTTGATTTACATATGATCAGCCATGCGAGAGAACGCGATGCATTGAAGAGAAACCCCTGCCATGGCAGGATCAAGCGCCGTCAGACAAGAGACTTCCTTCCCATTGACCTCAACGCCCTACTCTCACCGTCCCATCTCCCTGGCATCTCATTATCACTATTTAGAGCATTTCTCAACTCGCGAGCAGGTTCAGATAAGTAAGAGAGAAACAGATTGCGAGGAGGCGGTAGGATCGGCGGGACGTAAAGGTCCACCATTGAGCGCGAGTGCTGGAGATTTCAGGAGGGCAGGATGGGGCAGGGGTTGATTGCGAGAGGGTTGTGGGGACACAAGTAGGGAGGAAGGGAAAGGGGAGAGGGAGGGGGAGGGGAAACTTCAGGCTTTACTCAAAGTTAAGTTAAAAATCAGTACTGACACTACTCAGTGCCTAACTTATAAGTAAGTTGAGGCGCCTCATCAGTTAAGTTTAAGTTGGGGGACAGCAGTACGGTCGGGACCGTCGGACAGCAGCCCGATCCGATGATCGGCAGGATGATGGCAGGGTTGGTCGGATTAGCTGTCCTAGTCGTTACCGTACACGGCGGTTACGGGTTTAACCTTACTACGGTCTGATTTTGAGACGTTGTGATGAGAAAACTTGAAAGCAATCAAGTTTCCTTCTAAACTGATCACTGTACTACTCAGTCAGTAGGTACCTTGAAGGTATATATACAATGGATATTCGTGACCATTCTGAACAAATAACCCCTAAAAGTTCAGTAGGCTGAAAGGGACCTGAACAAATACCCCCTAAAAGTTCAGCGGGCTTAAAAAGGGCACCTGAACAAATACGCCCTTAAGGTTCGGCGGGCATTAAACGACACCTGAACAAATACCCCCTAAAAGTTCAGTGGGCTTAAAAGGGCACCTTGACAAATACCCCCCTAAAAGTTCAGCGGGCATTAAGGCACATCTTCATTAATTACCCACTCAATGTTCAGCGGGTATTTAACAACATCCTCACACTGTTCCACTATACTCTCAACTCACTGAACAATCATATCCTTTTAAAGTTCAATACACTTAAAGACTTATCATAAAAATGAATATAACTCATATACTTTCTTATTCAACTGAACATTATGATTCATTACATCTTCCACATCTCTGACATCCATATCCATAAGGGTGACATACACTCTTCCAGATATTATGAATACAAACAAGTATTCAACAACCTCCTTCAATCCATCAATCAAGTCTTCATCGACAAACCACACATCACCCCACACAACTCTATCATCGTTATCACCGGTGATATCTTCGATTCCAAGGGCATCGCCTCCAGCTATGGACTCGACCTTTACAAAGACCTCCTCACCAAACTACTACAAATCACATTCGTCATCGTCATCCCTGGCAACCATGACATCAAACAAGAAGAATCTGAATCACCCTGCCTCGTCTCCGCCATCGCCTTCGATGTCCCCAACCTTCACGTCCTAGACACCACCAAAACACTACAAATACATAACCTTGGACTCACCACCGTATCCGTCCAAGATACTCTCGACTTCCAACGCAAGTCTGGCAGACTATCCACACTACCACCCTTCCCTACCCACTTCAATGGCCCCTCCCCACCACAATATGTCGTCGCACTCTTCCACGGCACCTTCACCGGCACCCTCCTCTCTGAATCCATCCTCACCCCTGATGTCACTTCCACACCTCATGACACCCCTAAACCATCCATCTACCCCTTCGATTGGACCAAAGACTTCAAGTTCCTCGTCCTCGGCGATATACACCTCCGACAACACGGCACCAACAAATTCGGCACTCTATGGGGTTACTCCGGCAGCCTCATACAACAACATCGCAAAGAAGATGTCATCAACCACGGCTTCTCACTCTGGGACCTACAAAACTCCTCCATCACATACCACAACGTCTACAACCCCAAGGGATTCATCAATGTCCTCTTCTCCGATGAATCCAACTCTTGGCATGTCAAATACAAAAATCAATATGTCCCCTTAGACTCCCTCTTACAACACCCACACTTCCCTAAAGAAGTTCTCATCAACATCAGAGGTAAATACACCCCACTACATAAATCCTCACTCTTCCAACTCTTACACCAACACTCTGTCTCTCACTCCATACGAGATGACACCCTCCTCCCTGAATTGCTCCCACAACCCACACCCCTAGGCACATCCTACGGTCCCAATTACCCATTCAACACTCATATCAGCGTCTCCGACCTTAATGATACCTCCTTGCTCCTCCAATACTTCCACACCCGCACTCAACAACTCCAACTCAATCATTCCATGCTACAACGGCTCGAACACTGGCTCACCGACCTTCACAAGTTCACACTCATCCCTCACTCATTCCCTCCTATCCTACACACACATGTTGAACGCATCAATTCCCTCATCAATAAATCCATCCTTGATATACAACAGTTCCATTCGGAATCCACTAACCTACCCTCCTTCTCCGTCAAATATGTCTCCTGGCACAATATCTGCTGCTATGGCTCCCACGAATCCTGGATCAACTTCGACAATCTCGATAATCAGCTCGTCACCATCTCCGCACCTAACGCTTTCGGTAAAAGCACCATCTTCAACGTCATCACCATCGCCATCTGGGGCGTCATCGCCTCCAGTCTTATCAATGACCACGCCGAAACCGCATCTACCAAGATCGTCCTACAACTCAATAATACCGATTTCCTTCGCATCCATCGCTCCTTCGCACGCAAAAATCAACTAGAAACCAAAACACTCAAAAAAACTGCCTGTGACCTCTTCCTGTACAAGGCCGATGAATACCACAAGTCACTCTCTGACCCTAACTATACACCCGTCCCTTATCTCGTACAAAAGACCTCCTCTAAGGCCGCTAACAAAAAAGACCTACTCCCCTCCCTCGTTGGCACTCTCAATCAATTCCTACGCACATCCATGATTACACAAACCAATGACTCTAACTTCCTTGACGTTAATCACTCCAAACTCACCGAACTTATCGATTCCGCCGCCGGTCTTGATAAACTCACCTCCATCGAATCACTCCTTAAAAACTGCTCCAATAAATACTCTGATATCCTCACACTCCTTCAATCCAATATCAACTCACTCCTTCACGATATCCCACCCGAACTCCTACAACCCGACAGTGCCGTCGATTCTCATCAGTCTTCACCATCGGCCGAGCTCGCCGCATCCAACTCTAACATGGCCGCCCTCTCCCTAGAGTTACAGCAATTACAGAATCTTTACGAGTCCCTCGACATCAATGTTCAACCCATCTCCTCACTGGGACCCTCTCATGTTGATGCGTTCATTGCTGTCGATTGGCAAGTTCGACTCGATGAGTTCAATGCTCTACACCCTGACCTTGATAACATCGATTGCGACAAACTCAAGAAACAGAAGGACAACATCCTCTCTCAACTCCTTGGCAGTGACCCTCAACAGCTCTATCAAGAATATCAGAACAACCCTAAGCTGCTTGATACATACAATGCTTGGAAAGAACCACCCGTCAAACCCTGTGAATGGTCCTTCATAGAAGAAGAGCTTAAATCACTCCCCTCCAACATCCCCACTCAACCCTCCCACGACCTTGAAGCCCTACAGGCATCCCTCACCGATGTCCAAGAGCAGATTAAAAACCATCATCTCACCAAACCCTCCTACACTCCCCCTCACCCATCCTTCCTGACCCTTGAGATTGACCTTGACACTGTCCAAGCACTCATCCTACAATCCTATGGCAGCATCGATGAGTTCTTAGCGCATTGCTCTAACCTTCCTGCGGTGAATAAACCAATCACCCCACGCCCTGACATGGACGCCATCACCCTCACCAAGGATGCCTGCCTCTCTCGCATCCTGAAGCGTCAGGCAAAGATTGATGAGTTAAACCGTCAGCTCAAAGAGGCCGATGCTCGCTTCAACGACGTCGATGAACAGCTCACCTCTCTCAACAACACACTCCGAGACCTTCACGCCCGTGCTGTCTCCAATAAACCTAATGTCTCCATCGATGAGGTCACACAGTATGTTCAGATGATACAATCCGACTATGGCCGCAAAAAGGTCTCTGATGCTAAGAAGAAGCTCAAGCGGCTGCAGCAGATACTTGACAAGTTCCAAGAATACCATGAGTCTATAGAACAGGATGAACAACAGCTACAACGCCTGCAGCAGGAACTCTCTGTCTTCGAGGATAACAAGGAATATGAATACAACCCTAACTGCTCCGTCTGCCGCTCTAAACCTTGGGTCGCACGCATCGCTGAGCTCAAGAACAGCATCAAGACGATTGAGAAGGCTCTGAATAAACACCAGACCGCCCTTAATAAGTACATGGTCAAGTATCATGAAGGCGATACTCAAGATGAACTTTACCAGCTACAACAATGGCTTGATGAATACGATGAGGACAAGTACCAGTCCTATTGTAGGCTGCTGAAGGATTGGCACGAATATGACAAGTCCGCTAAGGAAATCGAAGAAACCAATCAAAAGACCGTCTCCCTACAGAAAGATAAAGATGACTTGAGGGCTAAACAACAGCAGCTACAAGCACTGCTACAAGAATCCAATGACAGGCTCTCTAAATACCGAAGGATGGTAGACACCATAGATGTCGCTAAAGAATGGGATGATTATGACGAGTTTGTGTTGTATCACAAGCTCCTCCGTGGCCGCTTCGAGAAAGACCTTGACGCATGGAAGCGGACCTTCTTCAACCTTGATTCGAAGCTGAATGGCATTAACAGGGATATACAGTCCGTTCATGCTTGGAACAACTATGTCGCCAATGTCATCCCCAAACAGCAGAGATTGGATAGACTCAAGGCGCAATACCACGATTGGGAGGAGTACCGGAGGCTACACTCTATCGTCCTCTCTAAGACACTCATCGAGGACATCCTGCCCACTCTTGGGGAATATGAGATGAGGCTTGAGCTCCTTGACAACATCAAGAAACAAGAGAAGCTGAACCTTAAGAGACGCATTGACCTGGCCCAGAACGCATTCAATGAACACAGCATCTCCCACGCAAGGCTTCAGGAACGCATGGAGACACATAACCGTCTGAAGGAGCAGTACCTCCTCTCTGTTCAGGCCGTCAATCACCTACAATTCGATGCTGACCTCTTGAAAATCGTTGTCAATGACTTCAAGAACTATAAAAAATGGATATATGAAAATCACATCCTCAATCACATCGTCGCATTTGTTAACAATGTCATCAAGCTATCTTGCCATCACACCACCAAACCCTTCCAACTCCATTTCGTCGTCGGAAACGCTAACGAGGTCGCCGATGACCCTCAGTCATTCAAGGGACGCTTTGACGTCCATTGGTTGATCCGTAATCATAATCCCACCACCGATTCTCAACCCACACACATCGTCTCCGCTAAATTGGCCTCTGGCTTCCAGAAATTCATCATCTCTATCGCCTTGCGATTGGCCTTTACACGCTTCCATAACAACCCTCCCTGTAAGCAACTCTTCGTTGATGAGGGTTTCATCGGCCTCGACCGCAATAATATTACTATGGTCCCCGGATTCCTACGCAGGCTTCTAGATTTCTTTGACTCCGTCATCCTCGTCTCACATATCGAATATCTCCTCGAAAATGTTGACGTCTCCGTTCATATCACCCGCAACCCCGACAATCGCTCACATCTACAGTTCGGACCACAACTCTCATTTCACTAATAATACTTCATTCTTCATTCTTACATCAATACCCTATATTTTATTATATCATAGGTCCATGGGTAAAATATATCATAGGTCCATGGGTAAAATATATCAAATATTCATTCCCTTACATGGGCAATTCCGTATTCTCATCTCATCCAGTTTCTCCCCCATACATCCATTTAACATCTTATTTTTATCCTTACCATCCTCATCACGTCTCCTATACATCCTTACTAGGGGTCGCAAAGGCCTGTGAGCGAAGCGAACTGGCCGGGCAAGCTTGCTTGCCTAAACTCCTACCCTCTCACATTAAATCTTATATACCATCGCTACATCCTATATTGGATTATTATATCTCGACACTATAGAGACATGTTTGGTAACAACCAACAGCCTTTCAAAACACATCCTTTTCCTCCTTTTCCTCCTCATCCTCTTCTTTTTTTTCTTTAATCTTCGTCCTCTTCTGTATTTTCTATATTGTATTGGTGTGGTTTAATTGAGATATTCTTGAAACCACATGATTTCTTTCCATCTATGTTAATATTCTTATCCGAATAAGGACCGGCTAGTTTGTTCCTTATGATATATTCCTTCACTTGGGATGGTGTAAGTGAGGTTGTATGTTTGCATTTCTTCAATTCTGCTTTTATAGTGCTCATGTGTAGGCCTGTTGAAGTGGTATCATATTGGAACATTTCACAGAAGATAACGTTCAGCTCTACAGTGCCTCTCCTTGAGACCATTCCTACAAATCACAACTATTATCTATTGACTATCAATAAATACTCATAGAGAGTATCATATCGGTCGTGTACAAGGTATTGTGTATGTCTCAGTCTAAGCGCATTCGGGGGTAGGAGGAAAGCGTTACCGATTCTGCTCTGAACTTCCTTTTCTCTAGTAGAAGGAATCTTTCATTATAGTTCCTTTTATATCATCCACGGATAAATGAACGGATAAAAGAATTCTTACTGTCAAAAAGTGTTCTCAAAGTATTATTTCTTTTCATATAGTGATACTATTCTCATATATCTTTATTCCCCTTTGGGTTATCTTAGATAAATATTCCCTTTTATATCATCCACGGACAAATGAACGGATTAATGAATTATTTTTCTGTCAAAAAGTTTTTAAAAAAAATTACAACATGCTATTTATTATTTGTTTCTCAGGAGAATCTCCATTTTTCATTTGTCCGTAGGTCCGTTTGTTTATTCAACCCAATAACTATGTGAGTAATTTTAGACAAGAGTTATATCCCCCTCCTCCCTCTCACTGTAGCCTTGAATTCTTCGCTATCACTATCTTGTGCCTCATTGTCGCTTTTGGTCTCTTCGTCACTCTCATCAATGAATGTTGGTTTGGATGTACCGTTCAAGAACATTTCTACACGTTCGATATGTGCTTTGTAGAAATACATGTCATTGTTCTTGCACTCTGTTATTGTATCTTCAAATCCTTTGGTGTTGTTTATTTTCTTCATAGCATTCTGATTAAAGAACGCATGGAATGTTTTTGAGGCCTGTATCTTCGTATTAGAACCACCCTCTCTTGTTTTAAACTCTTTCATGATATCATAGAGGCTTGGAATAAATTTATTCTTAGACATCTCAAAAGGTTTCTTGTATAATCTGATATAATTATCATCATAAGGGTCTTTCAACATATTCAAATATCCTTTGTCTGTTATTATGTACTCCAATAGGTCCAACTCTTGACTCCTATTCATCTTCTGTAGTTCCAACATGTACGTGCTCTTAGGGATATAATCCTGAAGGTTACCATTCTCTATATGCTGTCTGTAATCAAATGTAATGAAATACTCAAATATACATCTTATAGCCTCTGGATTATCAACAATCTCATTATAAAAGCTATTGAAATAATCCGCATTTCTTAGCAACTCATTAGTGGTCTCTATATAACATATTCTCCTATCACTTGAAGGCATGTAAAAGTTGTTCGTTGTCATTATGAAATCACAATATGTCTTGCACTTAAACCTGTCTATGTTCTTTGGTTCAAATGTAGCTTCTTTAGCCGTAACCTTATTCTTGAATTTATCAAAGTCATTGAATAATTGAGAACCCTTTGCTTCATTTACAACACATAGTAGATTCCTGTATTCTGACATTGAATGTTTGCTCATCAGAGCGTTTGTTACCTCTTCAAGCTCAATGCTGTACTTATCACCTAACAATCGCTTTATTACATCCACCAATGTGTTCTTACCGGTTCCCTCTTCGATGGAATAAAACAGCAAGCATACACATGTCTTTACGCCTGGCTTTTGTAACTTATGAGCAATCCAACATTTTATGTAAGTTGAGATCTCATCTGAACCAACCACCATATCTATGTGCTTTAAGTACCTTCTTATGTAATCATTGTCCTCTATGTTAAAGTCATCAGGCAATGGTGTCTCAAGTGGCACATCAAAACCTGTCCATATGTTATACACATTAGCTGGTGTCTGTGCTGGGATGAAATCCAACCTCTCATAGGTTCTCATTCTCGTATCCGTTAGCCATTCATTGATGAATGGCATCTCTTCATGTGTACCCTTCCTCTCATTGAATCCCTTGTATTTTATATTCGCGAATGCGTCTTTCAACTTCTCTTTGTTCCTCATGACGATATTGTTGTTCGAGTTTTGAATATACATTATTGGGTCCATTATCTTTGCGCATTCACGTTCAAACACTGTCTTTACGTCCTCATAATCATATTCAGATAGTTCAGCAAGTGTTTTTAGATTTAGATGGTCTAACTTGTTCTCTACCTCCTCCCTAATCGTCATATACTCGTCAAAGGGTTTCACCTTCAACTTTATCTCTATCCCCGTCTTCTGCTTTATGAACTCCTCATACTTCGTCAGGTCTCTCATCCTCTCCTCATTCTCCTCTGTCCATGGCACTTGAAGCCCATCGTGAATCAATACACACTTGTACCCATTCTTGAAGGCTGGAATCACCCCATCCTCTATCAGCTTTAAGGTAAATAGCTCCAGGATATAGTTCTCCATTGCACATATTATCTGATTCACTGTCTTGGCTGGTATGTTATATTTTCCATCGGAACGTTGGGTTATCTTCCTTCTGATGAAGGCGAATTCAGGAAGAATGCTCACTGTCTCTAGATTGTGCTGGACCTCTCGAAAGAACTCCTTTCTCCATGGAATAAATGTCTTGTCAGCCCCTCCATTCAATATCTTCAACAGCAATGTCTTTGCCTCATCTCTGGTGCAATCTGTCTTCTCAATTATCTCTCTCAAGATTCTCTCGCGGTCATTTATGTACTCCTCTAGATACTTCGTGTTCAGGTTGTACAGCTTGAATAGATGTAAGGCCAATGTGGGATGTGCATTGACCATATCAAGGTCCATCCATAAGTCCTTGTGTGAATCTGAACCAGCACTCCCACACAGTGCATGCCTTAAGCACCTTGGCATGTATTGAAGGCCAACCCATTTGTTGGCAAACCAGCGTCCGATGAACTTACCATCGTGCTTTGGGGAATTCCTTGATTTTGAGTAAGTCACAGTCAGATAATCCTTCTGTCCCGCATTCTTCAAACACAACTGTATCATCTGCTTGATGTCAAACTCCTCATGAAAATCCATCTTCTTGCTGTGAATAAGAAGGTGCTCATATTGGTCATAGTCCTTCAAAACTGTGATTAGGCGTTGCTTGTGGAAGGGTTCATAGAACATGTATCCATGTAACTTGCTGTTGTTGAAGAAGGCTGTATCAAACTTCTTGCATGGAACTGTATCGGCCGTCTCGAAGGAGAGACCTGATATGTTAGTCTTTGTGGTATTGTCTGAACAATCCGTGTCGTACTCACTCATCACTTGATGTATATTATAATTTATAACAAACCTATTCTTTAAGTACATTCAAACGCGCTTAAGAACAATTTCATGTATATACTATTATACAAATGGAAGACCCTTCTTCTGATGAATTGAAGAAACTCAAGAGAAAAGAATACCAACGAAACTACCAACGAGAGTATCAGAGGGAATATCAAAAGACTTATTGGCCTCAAAAGAAAATTGACTATCAAAAGAATTACCAACGCGAATATCAAAAGCAATATCAGCGAACACATCATACCAATTTACAAAGGTATCATGATAAGACCCCAGAAGAAAAACAACAGGTTGTTGAGTACAACAAACAGTGGTTCCAACAACTGTCCCCTGAAAAACAAAATGAGTATAGGGAGAATCAGAGAGCAGCTTCTTTGAATTGGTACCATAAGAACAAAGATGAAATCAACCGCAAGAAACGCGAAAAATATCAACAAGAGAAACTACTTCGGAATTCCTAATTCTTGTTTTTTTCATTAAGCTCTCATTATAAATAGCTTAATCCTTCGTACCACCATGCTTTCACCTCTACACAACTTCCTTAAGTACATTGTAGGCCTGCACACAGCCCGTATAAGGGGGTCGGGCAGCGAAGGCGCGAAGCGCCAAGCGTCATGACTCCGGCCCTTCACACAATCCACGTACCAAAAATCATATGACCGCTCTATATCACTCTTTAGAGTTCTATAAAGACTTGTTGTGATACAAAGATATATCAACTATCATCTATAAATGCTCAAGAAGCAGTCATAGAGAGTATTATATGAATGTTGTACGAGATATTGTGTTAGTTGACTGTAGTAGTAAGCGCGTTCGGGGAGGGAAGCGACAGAGTCGCTGACCCATTGTTTCCATAGGAAACATCGCTCCCCGATGCTCTCTTCTGCTCCTGATACCTCTCACGTCTTCGTTCCCGTTTTACTGGGTCTTCATATTGCTTCCTGTTGCCTTCCTTGACTCTCTCTCTGAATTCTTCATCTGCTTTGTACCTATCATTACGGTAACGTCTTAGATAGTCATTGATTCTTTCTCTGAATTCTGGATCTGTATTATATCGAGTCTTGTTATACTCCGCAATATAATCATAAATCTCTTGTATTGTCCCATCCTCTTTTCTTCGTTGTAGATAGGCTTTGTTGTATTGTCTCATAGCTTCTTTCTTGTCTTCCGACATCCTCTTCTCTCTATATATTATACATTTTCCCTTTATATCCAACCTTTACACGATCACACGTACAATACACAATATCACTGTTCTATAGCATTCTCTTTATATCATATAAACATGTTGAGATCATTCAACCTAGATATCAACTATCATCTATATGGCGTTTAAAGAGGTCATATAGATAATATCATATGGATCTTGTACGAGGCATTGTGTCTGATTCATATAGGCCTTACCTCAGTCTTACCTCAGTCTTACCTCCGTCTTAGCGCGTCTGGGGCGCTCCCCGGTATCACACATCATCCTCATAACAAATTGATATAAGGAATAAACGAATATATATAGGTAAGTAAGAAATGACTTCCAATAAACCCCTTCCTTTTGACTTTCTAGGCCATCTCGTCTATGATGCCCAAGACCTCAAACAGTTCAATCCCTCCTTTTTCTTTGGATGCTCCAAAGGTGTCCGACAAATCATCATCAAACAATCTATCCCTCAGTCCGAGTACTTCTTCGGACTGCTCACTAAGAATGTCTGGAAGCAGTTCGACGCAGACTACAAGAAGGCCAAGCTCCTTCTATCCCAACGATGGGTCTTAGAACATGTTCCTAACATGATAGACCAACCTAAACCTGTCAAAGAACAATCCGAACCTGTAAAAGACCAACCTAAACCTGTCCAAGAGCAACCCCTACCTGACAATGAACAAACCATTGAGTGTGAGCCAGCACCTCCTATCATCGAGCTCAAGGATGAAGAGAAGTTCAAGGATGATAAAGGAAAGTGTCTTGAGATTGAGGTCAGAGGGGAGAGGGAACATAACAAATGCTTCTTTAAGGTGTCGGATGTGTCCAGAGCATTCCATATGGATAATATCAAATCAACTGTTCTACGTAAAGATAGAGGATATGTTGAAAGAGTTCATTATAAAACATTTATTTGTAAATATGACAATGTGACTATAAAGCGTTTATTCCTTACATACTTAGGCTTACATAAGGTTTTGTTCTCTAGCAAGATACAACCCTTGAACCACAACGCAGATAATATCCTTTTGTGGGTCTATAAGTTTATTTCTACAACTCATTCCCATGCTACTAAATGGATTGACATACAACCTGATCTAATAGGATATGTTTATATTGTGACGTCACCTCTATTCAATGGTGTCAAGATTGGCATGTGGAGAGGCACCATCAAAGCTCTCAGAAGCAGATACGTTATGGCTTATGGCAAAGATATCATGCTTCTTACAAAGGATGTTGAACATGTTGTTCAGTCTGAGAAACATATACACGATCACTTCCGCAATCATAGGCTATCTGGTGAACTGTTCGATAAGCAGTTCTTGCATCTATACATTGACTTCTTGAACAACATGTCTTGATTTGAAAACACACACCATCCTCATCACAAATTGATATAAGGAATAAACGTATATATAGGTAAGTAAGAAATGACTTCCAATAAACCCTCCCCTTTCGACTTCTGTGGCCATACGGTCTTCGATGCTGAAGACCTTCGTGCCTTTGATTCTTTATTTTTCTTTGGATGTGCCAAAACTATCCGTAAGATCATCGATAAACATAACATTCCCACCTCTGACTACTTCTTTGGATCCTATAGCATCAAAGCTGGTTGGAAATTCTCTACTAAAGATAATAGGAAGGCCAAGCTACTCCTATCAGAGGGATGGGTGCTTTCAAACATCCCGAGCATGAGAGGACAACCTCAAGAACAACCTCAAGAACAAACTAAGGAACAATCTCAGGAACAAACTAAGGAACAATCTCAGGAACAAACTAAGGAACAATCTCAGGAACAACCTGAAGTGCCTATTGTTGAGTCTCAACAGCAAGCTGTATACGAGTATGAACTGGCCCCACCAATCATTGAGCTGGAAGAACACGAGAAATTTAAGGATGATAAGGGCAAGAGTCTTGAAATAGAGGTCAGAGGAGAAAGAGAAAACAACAAATGCTTCTTCAAAGTATCCGAGGTGGCTAAAGCATTTCAAATGAACAACATCAAGTCTACAATTATGCATAAAGAATATGGATACAAAAACCTTGTTCATTATAAAACCTTTATTGTCACGGCGGAGGTGTTAAATCAGCAATCACGTCCTTACAGAGAACAGAACAATCCTAATAAACCATCCTTACAGAAAACATTGTTTCTCACCTACAATGGCATGTTGAAGGTCTTGTTCAGTTCTAGGAGTGGCATAGCAGAGCATTTCCAAGAATGGGCCTCAAGGGTCCTCTTTACGGTCCAGATGGGAACTGTTGAACAGAGACAGGGATTGGCATATACGATGTTGGGTGTGAGTGTTGATTCATTCAGGGAGTTCTTGAGCTGTGGGGTAACACCCGAGGTGTCATGTCTGTATTTGGTAACTCTGGGATATGTGAAGGATGTGAGAGATGATATGGACATACCTAAGAGACATAAGGACAATGCCATGGTGTGTAAGTTTGGTATAAGTAATAATATAGACCAGCGTTTGATGCAACACAAGAGGGGGTTCAAGGATATTGATAAAGTGGATATGAGAGTGAAATGTTTTGGATATATAGATAAGATGTATACGAGCAAGGCCGAGACGGAGTTGAAGCATGAGTTGTATGATGGTTTGTTGTCGGATGATGAGATATCGGTGAGATTGGAGTATAAGAAGCATACGGAGATAGTGGTATTGACACCATTGCAATTCAAGCATGTGACACAGAGTGTGTATCCTAATCTTACGAAGAGGTATGGTCAATCTGTTGCAAGATTTACGCAGGATATTGAGGAGTTGCGTAAGGAGCTTGAACAACAGCAACTTGAGCATCAGAAGGACCTTGAACATCTGCGGGAGAGACATGAATTAGAGATTCAATTGCGGGTTGAACAGGAGAGGAATAAATCACTCACAGTCATATCTGAACTCAAAGATACACTCTTAGCCGCTTATAAACCACCTTCTTAGTGAGTATGTTATATAGGCCTGCACACAGCCCGTACAAGGGGGTCGGCCAGCGCAGGCGCGAAGCGCCAAGCGTTGTGACTCCGGCCCTTCACACAACCCACGTACAATACATTATATGACCCCTCTATATCACTCTTTGGAGTATCATACATACATGTTGTGACACAAACATATCACAACTATCATCTGTATAATGTTAGGGTTTAGGGTTTAGGAGGCGCCGTTATTTTCGGGAGGCGCCGTTATTTTCGGCAGGCGCCGTTATTTTCGGCAGCATGGCTCCTCGTCAGGTGTAGGGGAAGCCGCCAGGGCGCCAAGGAAGCTGCAAGCAAGAGGTTTGTATACTTCAAATAGCTTTCTAAGTATGGTTCTTCAGTATGATGAAAATGTTCGCAACCTGCTGTATCGGAGATCATGCCAATACACGCAGAGCGGACTTGTGGATGCCTCTGTCCTCGAAGCTGATCTCGTCGAGAGGGTGAAGAGCTTCGCGAAGCGTTATCCGAACAGCAGGACAGCCCAGGCTTGCAAGGCTGTGGAGGGATGCACCCCCGACGCTATCGCAGAAGCCATCCGCTCGACATGTCAGCAGGCACGACGTGAGCTTCTGCAAGAAGCGATGACTGGATGGAGTGACGCATCCAGAGAGTGGTTTATGCAGCAGATTGAAGAAGCCAAGAAGGAGAAGGTCGAGACATACACCGCCTCAGCAGGCAACGAGGTGACTTCCTTCATCTCCATGACTCTCCTGGGCATCTCCTCGGTGTATGTCAACCATGAAGAAAAGCTGAAGAAGAAATTTGAAGAGATCGGACTGATCGTAGACTCAGTGCAAGAGAGTAAAGCAATCATGTGGAAGGCTCCGTATAGACCCGAGATAGCGAGTGCTGAGGAGATCCCGGTGACTGTTTCCTTCCTCCGCAATGCACAAGCGGAGAAGCTCTGGCAGGGAAGAGAGGACTTCGCGATCGATGGTCGCAAGTTCACAGCTGTACATGTGAGCATCGTGCACGATAGATCTTTCAAGATTCGAGCCAAGAGAGGACCCTGGGGCAAAGGGGGCAGCTTGGCAGAGCTGACTCACCTGCTAACCTTGGGCGGCATGACAACGGCTGAGATAGCTGCCGTCTATCGCTATCAGCTGCTGCGCCAGTCCCTTGCAGCGGTCCAACTCCAGCCGCTGGCAGGCATGCTGGTCGCTGGGGCGCCAGGACAGCAAGTCCACAAAGGCTTAGGTCAGAAAGGCTTCATCGCTGTAGGGGCCAACGTCATCTGGAGACAGAGGGAGGTGGAGTGGATCGTCTCCTCGAGCTGCCCAGAGGCGAATGATACAGCATTTCGAGCTTTCCGAGAGAGCGAAGCGATGGAGGGAGTACACCTGACTCTGTTCAGCGAGGACCCGAAGATCAGAGAGGCGCTCGCAGTCGAGTTGACAGCTGATCGCTTTGTGTCCAGAAATAAGTTGAAGAAGGCATCAAGGATGCAGAAGAAGGCAGGCGGCAAGGACGGCAAGGAGATCAAGATCATCATCAAGTCGACGGCGGCATCTGGTCGCTTCACGAGGAAGGAGATGGAGGGGCTGTGCAACGGCGGCAACACGTCTATCGCAAGAGTCAAGAGAGTCTTGTTGGAGATCGCTAACAGGCTCGAGATCAACGTTGAAGGCATCGACATGGAGGAGGATTTGAACACCAAGTCCTGGAACGGGTCCAAGCTATGCATCCTCCTCGGCTCCACGGAGGATGCTCGACGCATGATGAAGGAGCTGCCCTTCTATCTCGAAGGCGCAGCAACCAAGCTCGAAGCAGTCGGCTTCGACAAGGAGCCTGACTCTGAGGCGGCTGGTCAGCGGGGCACCAGCGACGCAGCGCAGCGACAGGAGGAGAGCGAGGGAGAGTGGCTGGAGTTTACAGACCTGGAGAGGATCACAATGGAGGCAGCATCTCCGTCAAGCCAAGAGGACATGCAGCTCGTCAGCGAGCTGTCAGCAGTCATCGAAGATGCAGCTTCTTTGAACGAGGCGGGGACGAGCGAGCCGATCAAGCTGGTCCTGGACAAGGCCGTTGGCAACCTCCACGACACGTTCTACTCTCCGGGGAGCCTGGAGTTCATGTCGCTGGGAGAGTGGGCGAAGATGCCAGAGGAGCAGGGAGTTGGGCGCAACGTTCTCAAGGAGAAGCTGGGGAAGTGGCTGCAGAGCAAGCGCTGGACTCGCGTGCAAGGAGAGAGCAAGAAGGCAAGGAGGGGCAGCGCGTTCTCGCCACGGGCAACGGCAGCTGCTGAGCTTGAGCAGGAGGCGGAGAGCGACGACATAGAGCGTCGATCTCTTAGCTTCCTGTTCATAGCACTGAGTAAATTCGCAGAGATGCATGTGCTGGCCTGCTCGCTGAAGGTGGACAAGAAGGACCGACTGCGGGTGGAGATGAGGGAAGATGGCGAAGAAGAGGAAGACATGGAGGAAGAGCAAGGCGAGGGCGAGGAAGAAGACGGGGCGAGCCCGTACCGAGCTTGAGCTGAGCTCAAGGTAAGTAGAGAAGGTGGAGGCGACCGAAGGCCAAGGTGAGGAGAGGCAACTCTCCTGACTGAAGCGGAGGAAGCTGAATGGAGGAGGAGTAGGTGGCGACCGAAGGCCAAGGTGAGGAGAGGCAACTCTCCTGACTGAGGCTGAGGAAGCTGAATGGAGGTAGAGTAGGTGGTGACCGAAGGCCAAGGTGAGGAGAGGCAACTCTCCTGACTGAGGCTGAGGAAGCCAAGAGAAGACAGCAGAAGTAGAGAGTAGAAAGACGCCTCAGAAGCAGGGTTCGCATTGTAGGCCGTGTACTCCCAGTGCTCGAGCGCCTCTTTAGACTAGGATCAAATTGCATAAGCCCACAACGAGGCCGAGCAACATTCTAGCATTCTAATAAACTCACATAATAATAATAATAATAGGGTTTAGGGTTTAGGGTTTAGGGTTTAGGGTTTAGGGTTTAGGGTTTAGGGTTTAGGGTTTAGGGTTTAGGGTTTAGGGTTTAGGGTTTAGGGTTTAGGGTTTAGGAGCGCCGGTTATTTCAGGCAGCGCCGGTTATTTCAGGCAGCGCCGGTTATTTCAGGCAGCGCCGGTTATTTCAGGCAGCGCCGGTTATTTCAGGCAGCGCCGGTTATTTCAGGCAGCGCCGGTTATTTCAGGCAGCGCCGGTTATTTCAGGCAGCGCCGGTTATTTCAGGCAGCGCCGGTTATTTCAGGCAGCGCCGGTTATTTCAGGCAGCGCCGGTTATTTCAGGCAGCGCCGGTTATTTCAGGCAGCGCCGGTTATTTCAGGCAGCGCCGGTTATTTCAGGCAGCGCCGGTTATTTCAGGCAGCGCCGGTTATTTCAGGCAGCGCCGGTTATTTCAGGCAGCGCCGGTTATTTCAGGCAGCGCCGGTTATTTCAGGCAGCGCCGGTTATTTCAGGCAGCGCCGGTTATTTCAGGCAGCGCCGGTTATTTCAGGCAGCGCCGGTTATTTCAGGCAGCGCCGGTTATTTCAGGCAGCGCCGGTTATTTCAGGCAGCGCCGGTTATTTCAGGCAGCGCCGGTTATTTCAGGCAGCGCCGGTTATTTCAGGCAGCGCCGGTTATTTCAGGCAGCGCCGGTTATTTCAGGCAGCGCCGGTTATTTCAGGCAGCGCCGGTTATTTCAGGCAGCGCCGGTTATTTCAGGCAGCGCCGGTTATTTCAGGCAGCGCCGGTTATTTCAGGCAGCGCCGGTTATTTCAGGCAGCGCCGGTTATTTCAGGCAGCGCCGGTTATTTCAGGCACCATGGCTGCACGCGTGGTGTAGGGGAAGCTGCCAGGGCGCCAAGGAAGCTGCAAGCGAGAGGTTTGTATACTTCAAATAGC